ACCATGGGGAACAAAAGTAGCCCCCCTCCAGAAGGAAGGACATTGTAAGCACCAATTCAGAGATGATTTGAGGATCTGCAGCCCAGTAATACACAAATAAGATACAATTTGTTAATAGTTAAAGAACTATGGGGCAATGTTTTTTGTCCATAGTTCTCTTTAGAGTCACAGGACATATACTGTGTCCTCCCGTGACCCCAAACTAAGCATATAGCGGGCTATTGCCCGCTATAAGCTGAGAGCGCAGCAGCCGGGACAGAACCCGACAATACTGTGGAGATCCACCCAGCTGCGTGAGTTACAGCGGGCTCTGCCTATCTAGAGGCAGAGCCAGCTGTACCCGCCCCCTCCCATTCCTCCACTCAGCGCTGGAGGATCGGAAGGGAGGGGGGTATCCGTGTGGGGAGCTATGACTGACAGTCACTGTTCTCTGCAGGTAGATGATCGGAAAGTGAGCAAGCGAAGGTATGTGTTCGCTCACTTCACGATCAATAGAACCGACATGTCACAGTTTCATTGTCACACATCGGCTCCAACTATGAGTGTAATTCACTCACCTCATAGTTCTCCTTAAGGCTGAGTTCACACCTGGGCATACGGAATATGCGCGTTTGCGGTAAAGAAAACCGTGTGACAAACGTGCGTTTCCGAGGGCTACCTGGCTGTATCCCAATGGATGCGCATGGCAAATACGCCCCATAGAAGTTCCCACGCGCTGTAAAACGCCCAGGTGGGAACCGTGCCCATAGGCAATCATTGGTTTTCACATGTTGAGCGTTTCACAGAGCGTAGGAACGCGCTGTAAAACGCCCAGGTGTGAACCAGGCCTTAGTTCTGGTTCACACTGAGCGCTTTGTAGCTCTTTTTCTGCCCTATAAAATGCTCAAAAAATCTGCCCCATCCCCCAAAAAAATCCCATTAATTTCTATGGCCTTACTCACATGTGAGCGTTTTGTCGCAATAAGCAGAACGCCTGTTGCTGGAAAAAGTGCAGGCGCTTTTTTTTTGGCATATTACAGCTCGTTTTGGTCCCATCGACTTAATAGGAAATGCTTAAAAACACCCGTTTGGTGTGTTTTTGTGCATTTTCTTTAACATCAATGAGCTACAATCTGTTCACAAAATGCACATAAAAAGTGCAGAAACGGTGACGCTGAGGTGTGAACCAGGCCAGGTAACTAAACGTATTTTTAAGATTTAGTGTAACTTTAACCACCTCCGGGCCGGCCGTAGTAAAAAAACGGCCGGCCCGAGCTCTCTAGATCTGAGCGGGTGTCTTTAGATGTCCGCTCAGACACGCCCCCCCGCGCGCGCCGCTCAGCTGTCAGAAGCTGCCATTAGAAGGAACACAGATAAAGACTGCTGCTTGAAGTCAGTGACAATATTGGGTGATGGTACTTTCTTCATTCACCATAAAGCACACAGAAAGATCTAGGTCACTATCCTGGGGGCAGATTCAGACCGGCATTATTCTGCTGGCTTCCTATATATTGTATGGATGTCACTCAGCACACACAGGCTTATTATAAGACAGCTGATGGCGAGCACTGCCCCATCGGTGTTCCCACGCCTGCCTGTTTATCAGAGTCCGAGGTTACACGAGGAAAGGGAGGACATTGAGGAGAACAACTCCCTCTTCCACCACCCCCTGGAGCAGCCCTACTCCCACCGCTGACAGCAGGAACGCCTCGGCCACCCCTCCCCGAGAGGACAATCCACACCTCAGGCCCGCCTGCCACTCCATCATGGAGGATAAGGCCAGCGTCACCCGGCTCCGACTACAACTCCCGGCGTGCAGCGCAGCTCTGCCTCCTCAGCCAATCATTGCTAAGCAACAGGATGACGTATCGCCTGAGTATGATTCGTATTTTATGACCTGGTGCATGAACTGTAATAAATGAGGAAGGGGGATGGGAGAGGGGGGTGTTATATGTAAATGAGTGCAGTGTTTCCACGCAGATAACATACTTTCATATGCAGGGGAGTGCTGACAAATACAAAAAGTGCACTTGGCCTGACAATTGATGCTGCCATATAGTCCTGCAGGTGTGGGACTTATTAAAAAAATTGCAGAAAGAAAAGCACGTGTCCTGCACCCTAATATGATAAAATAATATAAACATGTATGCTGCTATGGCGAATTATGGGCATGATGGAATATTCTGTTATCCTGGCGCCAACTTGGCAGTATACATGTGTGTTTTTGGCGGCACTACTACTAAAACATGTATGGTGCCATGTTAGTTCCAGGAGGTGGGCTAGAATTATCCATTCCCCCTAATCAACAGCAAGTCTGAACTACCTGAGGATTTGTAGCAGCGGCTGATCTTCATATGAGGGAGGACATTGCTGCGTAGCTGGGAGCTTTCCAAAATCAGTGAACCTGAGATTGGGGCGGACCAAAGGGAGGGGCTAATAATGGCCAGCTGAGCCCGCTGTGCCAAAGTGGAAGCCATACTATGATGGCAGCCATGGGCAAATATGGGGCTAACAGTACTGGGGTTTTATAGTTACTGGCCTGCAGGGGAGACAGTTATATGCTAATAAAAAAAGTGTTGAAGATGTCACCTTGTAAGATGCATACAAGATCAGAGTCTGAGCAAAACATCAGTTCTTTTCTTGCTCCCCTTCACATCCTCCATGTTGCCTCCCCCAACCATTTCCTAATAGGCCCTCAGATCCTCCATGTTTCCCTCTCCGACATCAAGTCCACCCATCATCCTATGTTGCCCTCTCTGACATCCAGTTCACCTTTCCTCAGACCCCTCACATTCTCCATGTTGCCCTCTCTGATGTTGCAGTTCACCCCCCTTCTCTTCAGACCGTCTAGGTTTCCCTCTCTGACAGCCAGTCCACCTGTTTACTAATCAGACCCTCCACATTGCCTTCTCTGACATCCAATTCACCTCCTTCCTTTTCTCAGTCCTCCTCCCTTTCTCTCAGACCCTCCATGGTGCCTTCTCTGCCATCCAGTCCACTCCCTTCACCATGGACCCTTTGGTGTCCTTGCTGCCATACCCTATACAAAAATTAGCAGTTAACCCTTGCAGCGTGGGGGGATCCCCTTGCCCCTGGGATAGGCTTTAACTTAACAGCGACCCTATGAATAATTCGACATCAGTCTTGAGAACTAGGAACACACGCAGTGCACACTCCTAGATCTCTGCTGCAAGGATAATTAACCTTCTGATGGCAAGGGGCCTTATTCATGTGGACTTAGGCGTACTGTAGTCAGGAAGGGGTTAACCTAAAAAGAGCGTGTGTGTATATATATATATATATATATATACAGCATATATATTTCTTTTTAATATTAATACACTAAGATGAGCTCTCACTCCTCTGCGATAAAACCAATATTTTCCTAATAGAAGGGCCTTTATTTTGGGGCATTTATAAAGGCACCCCACTTTTTTGCAATTTAAACGCTGGTTATCAATTTTTTTAGGGCCCATTCACACTGACATTACATGATTCCATGCGATGAATGCACCGTCAAGCGCAACCGTGTAACGCACCTACCATGTGTTAACAGTGCAGTACCAGTAGTGCATGCAACACAGGGCATGGTGTGCAGTACTGTGCGTTGCAGTGCAATCGGACGCTTTGCGGGTGGGAGGTGCATGTATCGTCACAGGCGTCCGCAGGGCAGGTGTCACCCTCTGGGACGTAATCAAGCACACGCGTGAAGTCAATATGCACATGCAAAATGATGTTACGCGCACTTAACTGTCGGTGGCCGTCTTAGTGATGGATGCCGGCAAAGAGAGGAGGGGACCTTTAACCGGTGGGATAGGGTATGCTGCCTATTCCCCTCCTGTCAGTCATTTTGGTGTCACCCCCTCTGAAGGTGTCACCTAGTTTGGGTCACTAAGTACTATCCTTGTCGCACTCCTTACTGATATGTCCCTTGTAGTGGGGGGTGCTCGCAGTGACTGCGGATGGCGCCACAAATGTCAGCAGAATTGTAGAAATGTCACCAGCACACCAGTCCTTTTAGGATAGCAAATGCTTCATTTATTGAAGTTTTTTTGTCATATGACCAACAAGCGCTTTCGGGACCACACAGGGTCCCTTCATCAGGCTTTAGCATTGACCTGCTAAAGCCTGATAAAGGGACCCTGTGTGCTCCCGAAAGCGCTTGTTGGTCATATGACAAAAAAACTTCAATAAATGAAGCATTTGCTATCCTAAAAGGACTGGTGTGCTGGTGACATTTCTACAATTCTAGTTTGGGTCACACCCCTCTTGTGACGCCACTGTTTGGGGTGCCATTCACAGCAGGTGTGTTGCGCGGTACGGTGAGGTAATTGCAATGAACCGCTTGATTAGCGCATCACACCAGTGTGAATGGGCCCCCCTAATCACCCAGCAGGGAACATGACATATTGCTCAGCAATATTGAAAGAGAACATGTATTTCTGAATAGATTTGATCACACATGTGTATTAGTATTGTGCTCTGTATGGCTTTCCATCTCATTTTAACAATAAAAAAATACCATTTTCCAGACACAACCCAGCCACAGATGTAGTGAGACGCAGGAGTGACAACAATGGTGGTGCGCTGTGGCCCGCAGAGGGTTAATGCTGTGAGCTCCATGGCCAGGCAGTGGAGAGAGGGGGCGGGGCTAGGCCTGTGTGTCTGGGGGAGGAGGGGAAGGGGAGGAGTCTCCTGCCAGCAGCTGGGGCAAAATAATAACAAAATTAAATATCATTTCCGC